AAAAAAAAAAAAAAAAAAAAAAAAAAAAAAAAAAAAAAAGTCAGTTTAGAAAACCCTTAGACGAGAGCTTTCTTCTGCTCTAAAACCTTTCTCTTTATTTTAAATCTATCCGCAGTGTTTGAAGGCAAGGCAGATAAGCAGCAAACTTACCTCACAATATAAGGATCTGAGCTGGACTCCTGGGACTAAAGACTGTGGTTTAGTTCTATTTCTACCAGCACTGTGAAGTGAGGTACTATGGTTCTTTTAGTTACAAGAGGTGTTAGGAATGAATGCCCACTCACATTTAATAATAGCTTATCTAGCACACAACTCTGCAGCACAATACCAACAACAGGAGTGTTTTAAAGCAGGATGGAGAAGAAAGTAGACTTAATACAACTTAAGGTTTCCTTTGTCCTTTCCCCTCTTTTCACAATGAGAATTCAGCTGAAAAACAAAACTCTCCAGAATGCCCACCCACACTGTCCTTTGACCCCACCACATTCCAAACTTCTGACTTCTGATCCCAAGCCCTCGGAGCCTCAGCCTTTAGTGATGTATCCTTCTCGGATGAGGAAATCATAGATTTTCCGGGTTTTGTTCACATCTATCTTGATGAGCGCTCTTGCCTGCGCCAGTCTTAAGCCTCCTTGCTTGTTACATTCGTTCAATAGAGCAGATTTGTATTCTAAATAGGCTCCAGGGACCAACCTCACCATCTGACAGAGCTGCAAGACATGGCAAATTTAATAAACATTAACATCTGTCATTTTTGTAATTTAATCCAGCAGGTATAGCAAAATTTTTTTTAAAGTGACATCAACCTCCAACTATTTATAGGAGCTGATGGGTGGCTGGACTACATTCCATTTAGTCTCTTCCTCTCTGGCGAGAACGCTCCCTAAGGACACACACCCAGGAAGAGAAAGCCAGGGTGTGATGCTAGAAGAGCCTTTAGCACATGCCAGCTGGCTCAGGGGCCTGGGTGTGTTAGGGTTTACAGATATGTGCTCCTGAGGAGCAGTCTGGCTCATTCAGGAGTCAAACACTAAATGCCCAGGTACAGTCCCAGCACCAATGGTCAGGGAAGAGCCACAGGGCACAGTGGGGGCAGGATGCACAGATACTTGGATTTTCAAGGGCACATCACATTGTTTTTAGTATCAGCATAAAGCAGGAGTCCCTGCTTTGGGGATTACATTTCCTACTTCAAAGGGAAAGGACATAAAGAGACCTTGCTAAGAGGAGGTAACTTTAACTGCTAAAAATCTAGAAAATTGCTACATTATCCAGCAATGAGGAGTCTGAGGTCACCATTATGTGAGTAAGGATAAAAAAAGCTTGACATTCCAGGCCATTCAATATTTGAATCAGGCTGGCCTATGACCTTCTTCAGCAATACATAGATACTACATACATTTCCTTCCACTCCCAAACTAATCCCTACTGTTCCTGGTGGATAAAATAAGACTAACACTACCCCTTCACTATGACCCTTCCTTATTATCTGAACTGAACTAATGATATATGGTGGGAGATGGGAAACTGATCTTGGGAATTATAAAAGGAGCATATGAGGAGCAAAAGAGGAACTCCTCCAAAAGAGGAACACACTTCAGAGATGTGACACAGTTTTCTGAAAACTCCTGATGATGATTCTTATGAGGATGGCTTTAAATTTTAGAAACAGATAAAATCAATATGAAGACATGTCTGATGATTGCAACTGGAAAAAGTAGGTCACATAATTTTTTAAATCAGGCCGGGCGCAGTGGCTCACACCTGTAATCCCAGTACTTTGGGAGGCTGAGGCAGGTGGATCACCTGAAGTCAGGAGTTCGAGACCAGCCTGGCTAACAAGACGAAACCCTGTCTCTACTAAAAATACAAAAATTAGCCGGGTGTGGTGGTGTGCGCCTGCAGTCCCAGCTACTCAGGGGCAGGAGAATGGTTTGAACCCGGGAGGCAGAGGTTGCAGTGAGCCAAGATCGTGCCACTGCACTCTAGCCTGGGTGACAAAGTGAGACTGTCTCAAAAAAATAAAAAATAGGCTGGGCGAGGGGGATCATGCCTGTAATCCCAGCACTTTGGGAGGCCAAGGCGGGTGGATCACAAGGTCAGGAGTTCAAGATCAGCCTGGCCAACATGGTGAAACCCCATCTCTACTAAAAACTACAAAAATTAGCCAGGCTGGTGGCACGTGCCTGTGGTCCCGGCTACTTGGGAAGCTGAGGCAGAAGACTCACTTGAACCTGGGAGGTGCAGGCTGCAGTGAGCCGCGATCATGTCACTGCATTCCAGCCTGGGCAACAGGGCAAGTCTCCGCCTCAAAATAAATAAATAAATAAATAAATATATTAATTTTAAAAATCAAAATTAACATGACTATATATGACATAAAAATCTTTTCCTTATGTTTATAAACATGCTCTGGAGACAATTTACAAAAATGTTGTAAATGATGATTATGTTGTTGGAATAAGTATAGAACTTTTCAAGGTGGCCATTCTAATAGGAAATACCTGTTTTCATGTAAAAGTTACTTTAGGTTTACAAAACATTAATTTTATTTACATAAAGCACTTAGTAGAGTAGCACATGGTAAGTGCTCAATAGACGATAGTTGCTATTATTATGTAATTTACATACCACATGTGTTTTCCCCAAAAGAGGAATGGTGGTAGGGTGACAAGGTAAGCAATTCTCTGAAATCTGCCACAAACGGCTCTTTAGCTCTTGGACTTCTAGGATTCACCAGAGCTGTGCGTGTATGTTAGATGGATGAAACACAAGGGTTTGACCCTGTAATGGATTTTTAATGATAACTCAATGAATAATCAGCCCCTATTCTCTTTCCCCCAGCCCCCTCCTTTTTGTTACCTCCTTTTCTTTTTCATTCAGCTTCTCTGTGCCAGGGAGGCCAGTGAGGTTCAAGGGTGGTGCACTCCGTCTCCCTATAGACAGAGAAAGGAAACAGCATAGATTTAATAGGAGTGACAATTTCTCAGGTATAAAGTATTAAAAACTTCAGTGCAGCCAGGCCAGCTAGGTATAGGCTCACTATATCCAGCTTAGGAAATCCTGTCCCATTCCCTGAGGCCTGTTTAGCTAGCAACATGGGCACCCGAACATTCACTTGAAAATAAAAATGAATTACATATTCAGGGCATATGAATTACTCACAATCTGCTAAAATACACATACAGTCACACATACCTTAGCATCAAATGTAACTACTCACCACAGTAGCTATCTTTTATTTATTATTATTATTATTATTATTATTTTTGAGACAGGGTCTCACTCTGTTGCCCAGACTGGAGTGCAGTGTTGCGATCATAGCTCACTATAGCGTCAATCTCCCTGGCTCAAGTGATCCTCCTGCCTCAGCCTCCCAACTACCTGGGAAGACAGGCATGTGCCACCATACCCGGCTATCACCTATTTCTTCCTAACCATGTAGGAGACTCTAAAATCTGATGCCCAAATGTCATCCAGTTAAGAAAGGTCACACACTGCCTGCTTTGACAGCTGATGAATGGAAATAATAACTGCAGGACAGACATTCCCTAATCCTTGCCACTCAGCCAGCAGTACAAGGCAAACATGGTAATTAACCAAGTACTGTGTGCCTTCAGATCAAAGAAAGACTGTTAGGCCAGCAAAAGGCCCTTCTTTTTTATTATGTGAGGGGATATCTGTTCCTTCCAAAGTAGCCCTGTTTACCTGCAAGATCCACAAACAGGAACAATGAGCCATTATATGGCAAAGCAGGGGCTGAGGTCAACTCACATACCTGAGAAAGAAACCTAAGTAGGAGGTCACTGGCCAAGAGGGGAAGCTTGATGAGCAAAACTTTTTTGGTTTTGTTTTGGTTGTGTATTAGGGATTGGTGTTCAGCTGGGAATGGATAGACTGAGTTAAGCAAAGAAAATGTCTAAGTTTTATAGAGGTTGCTTTTCAAGTGGGGCAGAGAAACGGGAGGGACTGTTACAAGCTCCTCTGGTGGAAAACAGGCTTCTCTGTTATATCAACAAAAGGCATAAGGGATTATCCCAAATCCTCAAAAAGGGAGATAAAATCATTTGGTTCCTCACAAAAGTCACCAGAGGCTAGGCTACAACCAAAGATGCCAGGCTTCCAATATATAGATGCCTTAAGAACTCAGAACATAAAGGAGAGCAAGAGATCTCCTCAGCCTAAATGTAAGGGGTGAGAAAGGCTAACACCAGACTAGGAACAAACAATGAACAAGAGGCCGGGTACACAGGTTCACACCTGTAATCCCAGCACTTTGGGAGGCTGAAGCAGGAGGATCACTTGAGCCCAGGAGTTCAAGACCAACCTGGGTGATGTAGTAAGACATTGCCTCTACCAAAAAAAAAAAATATATATCCGGGTTTGGTGGCATTCGCCCGTAGTCCCAGCTACTCTCAGGAGCTGAACTGGGAGGATCACTTAGGCCTGGGAGTTCAAGGCTGCAGTGAGCCATGATCACACACTGCACTCCAGCCTGGACAGTAGAGGGAGACCCTGTCTCACAGAAAAAGAAAAAATAAACAATGAACAAGTCAGTGCAGATGGTACAGTAAACAAAAATCTATGATCATGTTAGCCAGTTCATTTAATTTAATTAATTAATTAATTAATTTTTTGAGACAGTCTTACTCTGTCACCCAGGCTGAAGTGCGATGGTGCCATCTTGGCTCACTGAAACCTCTGCCTCCCAGATTCAAGCGATTCTCCTGCCTCAGTCTCTGGAGTAGCTGGGATTACATATGTGTACCACCACGCCCAGCTAATTTTTGTATTTTTTTTTTAAGGAGAGATGGGGTTTCACCATGTTGGTCAGGCTGGTCTCGAACTCCCAACCTCAGGTGATTCGCCCACCTCAGCCTCCCAAAGTGCTGGGATTACAGGCGTGAGCCACTGCACCTGGCCCAGTTCCTTCATTTTAATTAGTCAGTATTAACTTAGTTGTATTTAGATTTTGGGGGCAGAGTGTTGGCAATAAGAAACTTACAAAATAAAACTTGGATTTCATTGTCTTGGCTACTCCCCTAAAACACTACCTTTTTCTTCCTTCCATGTTAAGAAAAAATTACTTGAAGTAAAGGAATAAATGGGGGAAAAAAAAGTCCCTAAAGTGGCCAGGCGCAGTGGCTCATGCCTGTAATCCCAGCTCTTTGGGAGGCTGAGGCAGGCGGATCACCTGAGGTCAGGAGTTTGAGACCAGCCTGGCCAACCTGTCGAAACCCCATCTCTACTAAAAGTACAAAAATCATCTGGGCATAGTGGCAGGTGCTTGTAATCCCAGCTACTCAGGAGGCTGAGGCAGGAGAATCGCTTGAACCTGGAAGGCGGAGGTTGCACTGAGCCAAGATCATATCACTGCACTCCAGCCTGGGTGACAGAGCAAGACTCCATCTCTCCAAAAAAAAAAAAAAGTCCCTAAAGTGGACAAATCTGAGACCCAGATCCTGAATCTGCTGAGACATACCTCCCCAAATTCCCAGTCATCGATTACCTATCACCAAGGATCATCAGATAGCATATGACCTAATCTTGCTCGGTATACTAATCTCAAACTAGGACATACTCAAAGAGGTAAAAGTAAGAAATAGAAATACTTTAGGTCTCCAACTTAGAAATCCTTATGTTTCTAGCAAGTAACATGCTTCTTTGCTCATGTTATATAAAAATAAAAAGCTTAGGCTGGGCACAGTAGCTCACACCTGTAATTCCAGCACTTTGGGAAGCCGTGGTGGGTGGATCACTTGAGGTCAGTTCCAGACCAGCCTGGCCAACATGGCGAAAGTGTCTCTACCAAAAATACAAAAATTAGCCAGGCATGGTGCCACACGCCTGTAATCCCAGCTACTCGGGAGGCTGAGGCAGGAGAATCACTTGAACCCAGGAGGCAGAGGTTGCAGTGAGCTGAGATCACACCACTGCACTCCAGCCTGGGGGACAGACCGAGACTCCATCTCCAAAAATAAGTAAATAAATAAAAAATAATAAAATAGAAAACTTTTAATTTATCTCCTGTGAAATAAGTCTCAAAATTCGTGGTAGACACAACTGCAGTAAACTAATTGCTCATGAACATTGGTAAAATAAGTTACCTCTCTGAAGTTCTTTTTTCCCATCTCTATACTCTCTATACTCTCACTCTGAGGATAGTCTCTGTCTGGCCATGAAGATTCTGAAAACATACTGATGTTTACTATTATTCTGCCTAAGCACCCTGACACCACAGAGGAAGGAAGATTGCTGGGTCACCATAACCCCTACGATGCAAACTTCACAATTAAGACTTGTTCTGGCCTGAGAAATAATTACCTGAATTCGAAGCCATTGGAATGGAAGGACTCAGGCCGGAATCACTACAACAAAGAAGAGGAATTTAAACTTAGGTCATATCAAACAAGGTGATTTCCAAAAGCCCCTGTGAGACTGGGTGCCGTTTATCAGGTAGGTCACCTTGAAGAAGTGTAACGAGACAGACTGAACTATGTTTTATAGATATCTCACTGTATTGAGCAGGAAAGCAAATCTGTTCTAAGGAAGAAAAATTCCTCAGATTTGTTAAGAAAAGCTTGTAGTCTAGAACACCACTAACACCACTCAAGGGGAAGGGATACAAACATGATTCTCCAGTGAAAATCCAGGTATGAAGAGAGAGTTGAAGTCATGGGTAGAAAGCTAGGGGAAAATTCACTCATTTTTAAAAATAAGATCAAAGTAGTAAAGTTTGATTCTAGGAGGTCAGTTGTTTCTCAAAACTATCAGTATGGCACTGGTTCTCTGAGATGGACTGCTAAAATATTTCTGAATTCTTCTAGCTACTCAATTATTATTACTCTGCCATCTAGGGTGCCCAAAAATACATGCTAAGGCCAAGGCATCCCAGAAAGAATGCCTCCTTCACCCTGGAGTAATTACTCACATGTCAGCTTGCCGGCGGAGCCACTGCTGGCAAGCGCTACTGTCTTGGATATACTGGAGAACTTCTGAGAGCATAGTGCGTTTAAGGCGCTCCTCCTCCCGTGTCTTCTTGAGGTGATCGTAGGTTCTGGCACCTGAGGGTATAGAAAACACAGTGACCACAATGACAATGCAGCAGAACTGAAGGGCTTTCTAACTGACCAAGAAACTGGTTTTGGGTTTTGTTGTTAAAGTCTATTTCCTTTGCAAAACTGCTTTCACAATTATTTCTCCAAGACCCAAGTAGATTTTCCCTAGTTTGAAATCCTTTTCTTAACACTAAGTATTAAATATTTGTATTCTTTTTCTATCTGTAAGAAATTTGGGAGAAAAAAACAATAGAAAAGTACAAAGAAAATAAGAATTGCTCATACTTCCACCCTCAAAAAGTAACCAACTTTTACTGTAGTCGTAGTTGCTTCCTGTTTTTTCTATTTTTACAAATTTTTTCAAAGTCACACATGTGCTATAAGCATATGCCTTTCCTTTAAAAACAATTAGAATTACAAAAAAAGAGTTCTCTTTGACATGTAGTACCTCTTCTCTATATTTCTCAGAGGCAGCCAATATCAGGAAACCAAAATTAATTATCAGAGTCTCTATATGCATCTTGCTAACAGAAGAGTTGTGTGGTGTTTTCTACATGTTAAAAAAGGTTCACAGATTCCAAAATACTGCACCAGTGGGTTTCAAAATTCAAACTAGGTTCCACAGAGCCCCAGGATACCACAGGAGTATCTTAGAGGTTAATGTAAAGAGAAAGGGCACTGCCAGATACCAGCGGTCCTGGGCTCTACACATAACTTGAACCATTAAAGTTCAACCAAAGTAATTCCACTTTTATCTTATTTGTAGATTGGGGCTCCACACAAAATTTAATTTTAAAATGGTTTCCACTGTTAAAGAACCATTATACTAGGCTGAACTTACATCCATAAGGTTATGTTGCACCCAAAGGGCTGTGTTAAGAAGTCAACTATTGCCGGGCGCGGTGGCTCAAACCTGTAATCCCAGCACTTTGGGAGGCTGAGGCGGGCGGATCACCTGAGGTCAGGAGTTCGAGATCAGCCTGACCAACATGGAGAAACCCTGTCTCTACTAAAAATATTAAAAAAAAAAAATTAGCTGGGTATAGTGGCGCGTGACTGTAGTCCCAGCTACTCAGGAGGCTGAGGCAGGAGAATTGCTTGAACCTAGGAGGCGGAGGTCGTGGTGAACCAAGATGGCACCACTGAACTCCAGCCTGCGCAACACAGCCAGACTCCATCTCAAAAAAAAAAAAAAGAAGCCAACTATTTCTTATAGGTAGTAGGTGATAGCTGTCAATAATCACAAAGACTTCAAATAGGAAGAAGGAGGGAGTGCTAAAGATCATTCCAACAATGACAGCAAAACAATAGAAACTGCCATTTATTAAGGATTTATTGTGTGCCAGATACCGTGCTATGCTTATATGCAGTATCTCTAATTAAATCTTTACACTGAGAACCTTAGAAAATTAAAACTTGAATAGAGGCCAGGCACAGTTGCTCACACCTGTAATCCCAGCACTCTGAGAGGCCAAGGCGGGAGGACTGCTTGAGGCCAGGAGTTTGAGATCAGCCTGGGCAACATAGCAAGGCCCAGTCTCTAGGGAAAAAAAAAAAAGAAAAAAAGGAAAGAAAAGAAATGTAGATAGAATCACATCGCAGAGCTGGTAAACTGGAGAGCCAAAATTTATACTCAAGCTTTTTAAGTCTAGACCCAAGCTCTTAACTACTATAATACACTATCTCTTACGATCTGGTTCTAGTACTAACTAGCTCTGTAACCTCTTTATACCTTAATTTCTTCATTAAATGGAAGTAATGGTACTTTGTAAGTTTGTCATGAGAATTCAGTGACTTGATCCAAGTGAAATGGTTAGCATAGAGACTGGTACATGGTAAACATCTGATAGATGTTAGCTGCTAATAATATAATTATTGTCACTACACCAAGTAACTGGGATACAAGCACCTAGAGCCAGTTGAAGCTTCATTATTTTATAAAAATGCTAAGGCCATGTATCATTAAATTTGAAAAGGGTGACAGACCTTTTTTTTTTTTTTTTTGGAAACAGAATCTCCCTCTGCCGCCCAGGCTGGAGTACAGTGGCACGATCTCAGCTCACTACAACCTCTGCTTCTCAGGTTCAAGCGATTCTTGTGCCTCAGCCTTCTGAGTAGCTGGGATTAAAGTGTGCAGCACAATGCCTAATTTTTGTATTTTTAGTAGAGATGGGCTTTCACCATGTTGGTCAGGCTGGTTTCGAACTCCTGGACTCAAGTGACCCACCTGCCTTGGCCTCCCAAAGTGCTGGGATTACAGGCATGAGAGAGTCACTGCACCAGGCCCAAGATTCTCTTTTTATAAAGAGCCTTGGCAGAATCCTAAATCTAAAGCAGCACCTCTCTTTCCTTTGTCTCATAACTTTTATTTTACCAAAGATAATCTATGTAAAGGTATTTATAGGGATTAAGTAGCCAAAACTTTACTGGAAAGATTTAAAGCATTCTGGTAAAGAATAGCTTATGTTTTAAAAAAAATTCACAACTCAGAGACTTCCTCTGTGTGTTTGGAAGACACTTGCCCTCAGGTACGGTATGTAGCTGAAGCATACTTACTACAAAAATTGGTAATGCCTGCTGTCCTGTATTCTTGGAGCCTCTTGATTTCCCTTCGGAGTTCAAATTCCACTGTTTTCCCCAAAAGGAATGAAGGAAAAAGTTACAAAAATAAAAGCAACATCAGTGAGCACTTTTGCTATTGAGCATTTTCATTAATTCTGCCTTATAAGACTAGGTAAGTTCATTTGGAGAATCCTACTTGTTGGTAACTTCTCATTAGAAATTTTACCCAAGAGCTGAGGAAAACCTACTCCAGCTGTCTTCCAGCTGCTGTCTCCAGAGGCAGCAACTGAAACTGTCTTCTAGAAAACTTAGTGAAATGGTTGAATTCATTTGTCTACAAAAGTAACAAATTTTTTTTTTTTTTTTTTTTTTTTTTTTTTTGAGACAGAGTCTCGCTCTGTCCTCCAGGCTGGAGTGCAATGGCATGATCTCGGCTCACTGCAACCTCCACCTCCCAGGCTCAAGCGATTCTCCCTGCCTCAGCATCCTGAGTAGCTGGGATTACAGACATCCACCACCACACCCGGCTAATTGTTGTATTTTTAGTAGAGATGGGGTTTTGCCATATTGGCCAGGCTGGTCTCAAACTCCTGACCTCAGGTGATCCACCCACCTTGGCCTCCCAAAGTGCTGACATTACAGGAATGAGCCACCGCACCCGGCCAAATATAATTTTTTTAACAATCAAGTTTCCCTGCTCTAACTATCTTCTGTTAAAAGTTCCACCCACATGACCAAGTTCTTTTATGAAACCTATTACTTGACGTGGCCCTGATGCAAGGGAAGGACAAAAGCTCTGTGCGCAAGCCCCTGTAAGTTTCTTTACAGCTTTATTCCTATAGGAACAAAAGTGCATTGTGTTTTCCATAAACCAAAGGTTTCTGCCTCCTCTGAGCATACAGATCAGGTTGTACTGTTTGGGTTATTATGTGATAAATCATTCTAACTTGGTTGCTTTTTGAAACAGAGAATGAAGAGCCTGGACAATCCATGGGGTATAGTTCTTTGGAGTGACACATAAACCAGGGGTGTGTCCCAAACTGGGACAGGAAGTAAAGGATCAGTCACCTGGTACAAACCAAAGAATGCCAACCAAACAAGGTGTTTAGTGAGGACAACCAACCTGGCTCAGATAAATGTCTGCAATGTTACGTAAGAAATATTTTCATGATGAGAAAAAGGGCCTTAGTAGAGTACCCTCCCAGAACTAAACTTAAGAGGCCACATACACAAATGTCATGATGAAAGGTACAGAATAAGCCAGAGTCCATATTACTTTAACAATCTAGGCCTTACTGCCATACTAACATTTTGTTTTCTGTTTTGAAACAGGGTCTCGCTCTGTCGCTCAGGCTGGAGTGCAGTGGCATGATTTCGGCTCACGACAACCTCCGCTACCCAGGTTCAAGCAATCCTCCCACCTCAGCCTCCAGAGTAGCTGAGGCTACAGGTGTGCACTACCATGCCTGGCTAACTTTTCTATTTTTGTAGAGATGGAGTTTTACTATGTTGCCCAGATTGGTCTCGAACTCCTGGACTTAAGCGATCCTCTTGCCTCGGCCTCCCAAAGTGCTGTGATTACGGGTGTGAGCTGCCACGCCCGGCCTCATAACAACTTTCAATTTTTTATAGTGAAAAATCAAATGGTAACTAGGTAAAGCTCTCACAGAAATACCACAGAAAGGCAAGAGAACGATGGAAGTACTATCTCCACAAGCTATCCATCTCTGTCCTCATTTTTAAAACTACTTTTAATACTAAAATATTTATGAACAAAATAAAATGATGTCTGGGATTTGCTTCAGAATAATCCAGTCGAGGGCAAGAGGGGAGAGTGGGTGGTAAAGATGAAACCAGACTGGTCATGTGTTGAAAACTGCTGAAGCTGGATAATGGATACACGGGAGTTCATCATATTATTATCTCTACTTCTATATATATTTGAAAATTCCCATGATAAAAAGTAGGGAGAAAAACTACTAAATTATTGTTTATCTGGGGCAATGGGGAAAGCCATTAGGGCTTTTTAACCTCTCTTCTGCTACCCCCATAGTCCCAAATTTGTCCCATGGAAATAAAGGGGAACAAAGAGAGAAATATCCATTTATTTATTTATAGAACTCTGAATAAAACACATCATTATCTCTCCTATTTATATAAACATACACACACAAATACTGCTTAAGGTTCAAAAACCACCTACATGCATGGCTTTCAATGAATTTGTCATGTTCCACTGGCCCCACAATTCTTGCAAATCGCCTCATTGTTTCATAAAGGTCCTGGACCTCCTTGGGATACCGCCGTTCCATTACTACAGAGAAAATAAAACATAAATGTGTCATAGGAAATGTAAGGATCCCTAAGTTTTCAGCATTTTTTTTTTAACAATTAGTAAAATAGAAGAACATTATTCATAACCTCACATGACTAACTTATCCATGACAGGAAGCAAACAGGAAAGCCAAGAATGCAAAACACTAATCATAATGACAGCACCATAGCAACTATCCCACAGGGATGTTATCACTGGAGATCGTCTCCACCACTGAGCATTACTAATCTCCCACATCTACTGATTTTTTTTTTTTTTTGAGATGGAGTCTCACTCTGTCTCCCAGGCTGGAGTGCAGTGGTGTGATCTCAGCACACTGCAACCTTGGTCTCCTGGGTTCAAGCAATTCTCCTACCTCAACCTCCCTAAGTAGCTGGGATTACAGACACCTGCCACCATGCCCAGCTAATTTTTGAATTTTTAGTAGAGACGGGGTTTCACCACGTTGGCCAGGCTGGTCTTGAACTCTTGACCTCAAGTGATCCGCCCACCGCGGCCTCCCAAAGAGCTGGGATTACATGCGTGAGCCACCGCGCCCAGCCACCTGTCTTTTTTTTTTTTGACATGGAGTCTTGCTCTGTGGCCCAGGCTGGAGTGCAATGGTGCGATCTCAGCTCACTGCAACCTCCGCCTCCCAGGTTCAAGCAATTTTCCTGTCTCAGCCTCCCAAGTAGCTGGGATTACAGGCACGCTGCCATGCTCGGCTAATTTTTTGTATTTTAGTAGAGACAGGGTTTCACTATCTTGGCCAGGCTGGTTTTGAACTCCTGAACTCAGGCAATCTTGGCCTGCCTTGGCCTCCCAAAGTGCTAGGATTACAGGCGTAAGCCACCATGCCTAGCCACCTCACTATCTTTTAAACTACACAGGGGCAGGAACTGCTGGCAGTAATGGACAAGACAATTAAAGGCAGATCTTACATTCTTAGGAAGAATTATGGCCAAAATGTATGGTATTAACTCCCACAGGAAAACAAGGAAGCTACAGACAAAATAATCCATCCAGAAGATTTCCCATTAGCTGAGAAAAGGTGTGATTTCTTGCATGTACCACCTACACATCCTCAAGCAAGATATGTATTTTTTTCATCCTTCATACAGGTCATTTTGCCTTTCTCTAAACTAAATTAACTACTACAACTTAATTTACTGGTAATGAAGTTATATTTGACAACTGTCATGCAAATATCATGCAGAGACACCAGAGCAGCAACTCTGGGGATCACTACTGACCAAATATCTAATCCAAAGACGTATCTGCAAAGACGACGGGAGAGTAAAACTGACTAACAATAACTGGTAGATTGGAGCAGTCAGGAACTCTCAAACTGCTACTTGGGTCATTTCAATCAGTAATTACGTTAGTTCTATCTACTCTTGGACAAAAGATACAGGCTTTCATTTATGACAGCTATTATTTTTTCCTAGCTTGCTTTTTTATTTTTTATTTTTGAGTCCTGCTGTGTCACCCAGGCTGGAGCGCAGTGGCACAATCTCAGCTCACTGCAACCTCCGCCTCCCAGGTTCAAGCGATTCTCCTGCCTCAGCCTCCCGAGTAGCTGGGACTACAGGCATGCATCACCACGCCTGGCTGATTTTCTTATTTTTTAGTAGAGACGGGGCTTTATCATGTTGACCAGGATGGTCTCGATCTCCTGACATCGTGATCCGCCTGCCTCAGCCTCTCAAAGGGCTGGGATTATAGGCGTGAGCCACTGCACCCGGCCTTTTTATTTTTTATTTTTGAGATAGGGTCTCGCTCTGTTTCCCAGGCTGGAGTGCAGTGGCACAATCACAGTTCACTGTAGCCTCAACATCCCGGGCTCAAGAGATTCTCTCACCTTAGCCTCCCAAATACCTGGGACTACAGGCACATGCCCCCATGCTTGGCTTTTTTATAGAGATGGGGGTCTCCCTATGTTGCCCAGGCTGGTCTTTAACTCCTAGGGTCAATCATTCCTCCTGCCTCAGCCTCCCAAAGTGCTGGGGGCCACTACGCCCAGCCTATGACCGCTATTTAAACTAAGTCCTCTTTTTAGGTGAATCTCTTCTCTTGCAGGAGACATTCTTACCCAAAAATCCTAGAAGCTGATTTAAGGAGCAGCCACAGCTCATTAAAAAAAAAAAAATAAACCAACAACAACAAAAAACAAAGCAGAAGAATATGGAGTAAAAATTTTGAATTTGAAGAAGAAAAACCCCTGCCTACCATATTAAGGTCAATTGTACATTCAGTATAATGGCAGCTGAAAATCTCTGAAACCACAATGCACACGCTACTTCTACACTCTCAGAAGCAACAGAGCTTCCCCTCAGCCCTCTGTTTGAAAAAATATAGATAACAGAATAATGAAGCCAAACTGACCTCTATCAGTTGAAAGAAGAATTTATTTAAGAGTCAATGTCTACAAGGAGTAAAGATCAAAAATTAACTGGACTATTATGGAAAACCCAGGAATTCAGATAGAGAACCTACTACTGTGGCTACTAGAACACGATCAATTAATCTGATCCTGAATTATTTTTGCAGATCCACGGGTCTTGATAAGGATGGGGTTCACTAGGGAATCTCATATACTGCTAGAAGAAACAGAAATTAATACAACCATCTTTTGGAAAGCAACTTGGCAGCAGGCATCAATAATTTTTAGTGGTCATAATTTTAGATGTATTAATCCCACTTCTAAAAATCTACCTTTAAAAAAATCCTAAATAATGACAAAGCTTTATTCACAAGTTCATCATAGCATTATTTATGTAATGATTAAAAGAACTCAAAACAAGCTAAATACCTAAAGAGAGAAGCATATAATTATATCTCTTACATGTATATATACAACATAACTATTAAAAGTACATATTATGTAATCTATGAAAACTGATATCCTCAAAACACTACAGTAACTTGAAAAATATGTAACATAAAGTGAAAAAGGAAATAAGGCCGGCATGGTGGCTCACACCCATAATTGCAGCACTCTGGGAGGCCGAGGTGGGCAGATTGCTTGAGTCCAAGGAGCTCAAGACCAGCCTGGACAACATGGCGAAACCCTGTCTCTACTAAAAATACAAAAAATTAGCTGGGCATGGTGGCATATGCCTATAATCCCAGCTTCTTGGGAGGCTGAGGTGGGAGAATCCACCTGAGCCTGGGAGGTGGAGACTGCAGTGAGCTAAGCCACGCACTCCAGCCTGGGCAACTGGAGTGAGACCCTGTCTCAAAAAATAAATAAATAATAAAGGACCTAAAATGTAACATACTTATGATCATGGCTATATTTTAAGAAAATAATATAGATTTTCTGTTGCCCAGGCTGGAGTGCAGTGACATGATTATAGCTCACTGCAGCCTTGAACTCCCGGGCTCAAGTGATCCAATGCCTCAGCCTCCCAAGTAGCTGGGATTATAGGCGCAAGCCACCATGCCTGGCTAGATATTCATTTAGACTAAAAAGACACTTAACCTTGTTGACTGAACCCTATAATGCTATGGATTATTAAAGAAATACCCCTACAAGAATCTATCAACTAGGATATGTTTTACAATAACCATTAGGTTATTGTACAAACCTAACCATTAGGTTATTCTTTACAAAAAAAGAATATTATGACACACAACTATTACAAATATTTTAATACAAACATTGTGATTATTATTATGATATCATCCTTCTTATTTGTGGAAGACTCTATGTTGTGGAAGAAGAAAAATACAGGGACTTTTTCTGCTCTGCTTAGGTATCTCTGATATTTAAAATAGCAAAGACCAGACACGACAGCTCGAGCCTGTAATAAGGAGGCTGAGGTGGGAGGATCACTTGCACCTAGGACTTCAAGGCTGCAGCAAGATACCATCATGCCACTGCACTACATCCTGGGCAATAGTGCAAGACCCTGTCTCTTAAAAAACAAAAAACCACAGTAAGGTCAAGGTGGCATTTATTTTAAAAATCACTATGTATTTTTATCACCATCATATAATATTAAACATCATTTATTTTGTCTGCCTACAACCATCCAAAATAAAGATCACTTTCTGTTATTTATCTAAAATATTTTTACAACCTTAAGGTTATGTTATGCTTGACACATAGTTGCAAAACATGACTCTATCCAGAAAATGATTCATTAATATTCACACTGTAATTACTATACAAATTTTTAAAAAAGAATTTTAATACAAGTTTTGTTGACTACGAATACATTTATTTGTTTATTTATTTATTTATTTTTGAGACCAAGTCTCACTCTGTCGCCCAGGCTTGAGTGCAGTGGCATGATCTCGGCTCACTGCAACCTTCACCTCCTGGGTTCAAGTGATTCTCCTGCCTCAGCCTCCCGAGTAGCTGGGATTACAGGTGTGTGCCACCACGCCTGGCTAATTTTTTTTTGTATTTTTAGTAGAGATGGGGTTTCACCTTGTTAGCCAGGATGGTCTTGATCTCCTGACCTTGTGATCCGCCCACCTCAGCCTCCCAAAGTGCTGGGATTACAGGCAAGAGCCACCCCACATGGTCCCAAATTAATACTTTTAAACTCTCACTATGGATCAGAATTTCCCGAAGACTTTAAAAACGCAGATGCTGTCCGGGCATGGTGGCTCACGCCTGTAATCCCAGCACTTTGGGAGGCCGAGGTGGGTGGATCACAAGGTCAGGAGATCAAGACCATCCTGGCTAACATGGTGAAACCCTGTCTCTACTAAAAACACAAAAAAATTAGCCAGGCGTAGTGATGGGCGCCTATAGTCCCAGCGATTCGGGAGGCTGAGGCAGGAGAATGGCGTGAACCCAGGAAGCGGAGGTTGTAGTGAGCTGAGATCGCGCCACTGCACTCCAGCCTGGGTGACAAAGTGAGACTCCGTCTCAAAAAAAAAAAAAAAAAAAAACGCAGATGCTGTGCCTCCAACCCCAGAGATTCTTACTTAATTAGTCTGGAGTGATAGCCAGGCTAATATGCAACTGGGATTAAGAACTACAATACATGATTTATTTAAAATTACTCATAATATTGGAAAAAAATTGTAAAATAAAGAAAACTGCTAATACTTACATTGAAACTTTCTAAGGTTGATTAATCCATGGTCTCTTATAATTCTAGAATGAAAAGCCACAATAATTTGTGCATTAGAATTATTTTCACATTTACTAATGCTTTCTATAGATAGCTGTCATCAGACCTCTTAAACATGCTGAGGTGGAATACAGAGGTCCAAAGAAGTCACTCTCACAAACTTCTGCAGGTCAGTGAATCACTAACACAATTTTAGACTCTCAGGCATCACAGGTTTTTCCTCTTCTTGTGTATAGTAGACTCTCCATGACTATTTGCTGAACGAATGAATGAATCAATAACCACTCACAAATGCTGAAAAACATGTGTCTGGCACTTAAGATGAAACCGAAAGGAATCTCTGTTCATGTCATAAAATTAATCTATTCAGCTTGTGGGAATAATTGAGAACAGCCATTTTAGAGAAATCTGCTAACTGTAAAAGGGCATCATGATCACATATTCAACATTTACAACTGTGCATTCACACAACACTTTGACGGTACTAGAAATAAATATTGTGCATCTTTAATGAAAGGGCATCATAAAACAAAAGATTTGATAGCAACATCAACAACTGAGATCTACAATACTCTCTAGCTCGAATTGTGTGTTTTAAGCAAAAGAGAATTTAAACCAGGCAAAGTTATGTGTCTTGAATCTGATTTATACCAGAGGTATTCGTAACTAGCAATGAAGTTTCTCATAGGAGCAACTGGGTATGCTTCTTCAGCATTTCATGGAAGCTAACTCCAGACATGCAGAGGGTAAGTTTTACTTTAGATCAGGGGTCCCCAATCCCTGGGCCATGGGTCAGTTACGAACCAGGCTGCACAGCAGGTGAGCAGCTTTACCGCCTGAGCTCTGCCTCCTGTCAGATGAGCGGCAGCATTAGATTCTCACAGGAGCACAATCCCTATTGTGAACTGCTCATGTGAAGGATCTAGGTTGTGTGCTCCTTATGAGAATCTAACCAATGCCTGATGATCTGAGGTGGAACAGTTTCATCCCAAAACCATTCCAGCCCCCAGCCATCCACGGAAAAACTGTCTTCCATGAAACTGCTCCCTGATGCCAAAAAGGTTGAGGACTGCTGCTTTAGATCACGTCTTAGTTCCTCCAGAGTGAATCTCAAGTCCCTCTTTCTTTTCTTTTACTTTTTCTTTTAGAGATGGGGTCTTCCTCTGTTGCCCAGACTGGCCTTGAACTCCTAGGCTCAAGTTATCCTCTCACCTCAGCCTCCCAAGTAGCTAGGCCTAGAGGTTCATGCTACCATACCTGGCCTCTCTCCTTTTCACTGCTGAGATACCACTGTGTCTACAGTTAGTTAACACCACAGTTAAATACATGCCTACACATATATACACACACTTGCACACTTATACCCTCTGCATACTCTTCTCTGAAACCAACAGGGGTCTGAGATCCATAATTTCTAAGTCTGAATGTATACTTTTTGATATGTTGCAAAGAGAGGAATAACCAGTACGCCTGAAACTTGTTCGGAATTCCTTTGAAATCCTTTTAGATGAACGACTTCTCATAAAAAAATGAACAGTTAGAAAGAGACCATTAACAAAGCACAACAAGTCTGGGTGCAGTGGCTCATGCCTATAATCCTAGCACTTTGGGAGGCTAAGGTGGGCGGATCACCTGAGGCCAGGAGTTTGAGACCAGCCTGGCCAACATGGCGAAACCGTGCCTCTACTAAAAACAAAAAAATTAGCCGGGCATGATGGCACGTGCCTGTAGTCCCAGCTACTTGGGAGGCTGAGGCATGATAATTGCTTGAACTCAGGAGGCGGATGCTGCAGTGAGCCAAGATCACATCATTGTACTCCAGCCTGGGTGACAGAGCAAGACTGTCTCAAAAATAATAATAATAAAATAAAAAATAAAAATCAAATATAAAAGCCTAACAGGCCGAGTGCAGTGGCTCACACCTGTAATTCCAGCACTCTGGGAGGCCAAGGTGGTAGGATGCCTTGAGCCTAGGAGTTCGGGACCAGCCCAGGCAACACTGTGAGACCCCATTTCAAAAAAAGGTTTTTTTTTTTGAGACA